AGTACTTAGGAGATCTTTATTCACAAATATTCAAGAATCTTTGAAGGAAATAAATTATGGTGGATGGTAATAAAAAACATAATTGTCTCACTGTTTAAAGTAAGCATTGTGTATATACACAAGATCAAGAACTGAATAATTAAATTCATAAAAGCTTTATGAGAGATTGAGAAACGTAAATTAAAAAGCAGAAAACTATAAGATAAAACATACGAAGAAAAGTTGTAATGGAAAACAGTAGGGATCTCTTTCTAGTGATGAACCCAGATTGGCCTCAGAACAATCAAGATTCTTATCCAACACTCTAAAGAAGAACAATTAGCTATTCGTTATCAAGAAACAAAAGTCATGATCTTTTTTGAAATTCACAAGTGATGGTTAGATGATCATGGTATAGAGCAGATAACATATCTTTAATATCTAGGAGTTTTTCAAGCCTCCAGAATGAAAACTTCCCATCAATTATGCCTCCAAAAAAGTGTCATAACAATATTAAAATTTCTTTGGATGCAGAGATGGAATTTTATTCAAACTGACATAAAACTATTAATGGTAAAATTTGTTGCACAGTTATTCTATGATTAAGCCTTTATTTTTTAACTTCAGGTCTCTTGAAAAAATAAAATCAGTATTTTTAATATTCTTTTTCCTGCCCCCCAGATGTATCCCTAATGTGGGGCACAGAGATTAGAAACCAAGCTGTTTAGAAATGAAGCCAAAATCTGACTAGATACTATATTTTATTTGTTTGGGTAAGGGTCAACTTGGCTCCAAATGGGCTGTTCCCTCTAGCATCACAAACAACTATATGTCTAAGGTTATTATTTCCTACAGTCCTGTGCCTAAGCAATTATATTAGTGGTAGGTCTAGATAGCCAAAAAAAGGAACAGCAGACCTGGGACAGATTAACAGAACAACCTAAACTGAATTTTTAAAATCTGTACACTGGGAATCCAGAGATATTCTCCATTATTTTCACCTGCCTATGCCAACTATTCACAGATATTTATTAACATTCTCTTTGGCATTTTTAGAGAGTAGATACCATAATATTCCAGTCCTGTACCTTGGCAACTGTAGGACTTGGGGACTTCAACTCCCAGAATTCCTCAACCAGCCACGTTGGCTGAGGAATTCTGGCAGTTGAAGTCCACAAGTCTTAAAGTTGCCAAAGTTGGAGAACCCTGTTCTAGAGGCTTTGTCCAGGTAAACCAAGAGACACTGAAACAATGTTCTATATGGTAAATTTTATTCCGACTCTTCTAAAAATAAATTAGCCTTATTTTTAAAATGTCCCAGGCTATCCTGATAAATTTTCTATTCAATGTCTATTGGCAGATAGATGTTCTAAAGGTATATACTGTACTCAGTTGCAACATTTTATTTTATTTGGAGAACTCAACACACACAAGATACCTCAAGGTTTGAAAAGGTTATGTGGAATTTTAAGCCATTTTTTAAAAAAACTTAAATATCTTGATTTCTAATTATTTTACTATATATCTTACCTTATATTTACTATATATTTTACTTTATATCCATTAATATGTATTTTATACTGAATATATTTTAGCTGCCTAGTGGTCTAAGATCATACTAAAGTATTCATTTATTCTTCCTAGTAATGAATTATCAATTATTATAATTTTGACTTGACAACTATAAGAATCTGAGATCCTATCAGGGGATATATCTTAGAAACTGTTTGGGTTTAAATAAGCTATAATGTGTTTCATTTGACTTTGGCAGAGAAAGTTTGTAAACTATGGTTTTTGGCCTACTGAGTGAATATGCTCAACCAATAGTGTTTTCTTCATGTCCAAGCAAACAATGTTTTAGGACCGTATATAAACCAGAGCATTGATTTAAATATGGCAATGTTTTGATGCCCATAAGGAATCAGAGCTGCACTAAAAAGGTGATGATTCAGAGAAAGTGGAACAGCTTAGGATTCTTTTAGGGATTTTTTTTTCCCTTAAACTGTGTTATGCCTCTATTAGAACTCACACATCATTTTCATGTGCTCGTCTCACAATATAAGTTGCACTCTTATCAACATTTAATTAAAGAAAGTTTAGGGAACGCAGAAAAAAAAAGATACATGTTGTCCACAAGGACAAGGCACAGGTGCTCACACCTTTGACCAAACTGTTTCTTCAGCAGATCAAGAGAGCAGCATAGCCCCAATCTTTGTATCACTAAATGTTTCCATTCATAAGTACAGCCACATAGCTACTGCTGCCATTAAAATGGGAGAGTGGAAAAAGTACACTAAAAGGAGTTTCATGCCAGATTTTGCTCACATTCTTAAGTGGAGAAAAAGATCTGTAGACTCAATGCACAATTGGGGATGAAGAAAACAATATTTAGAAAAAATTATCATTATGATAAAAATAAGTCAGTTGGTATTCAAAGTTACTGCTTTGTATTCCTCCTCTCCTGTCCCATTACATTGTTAATATTTAATAACAGAAATGTCTATCACCTGTGCATATGTAGAAATAATTATGTAAGGCGTATGGTAGGGTTAAGTACAAGTAGTTCTTGACTTACAACAGTTTATTTAGTGACTGTTTGAAGTTACAAACGGCACTGAAAAAAGTGACTTGTGACCGTTTTTCACATTTATGATGGTTGCAGCATCCCCATGGTGATGCTTGACAACTGTTTCACATTTATGACAGTTGCAGTGTCCCGGGGTCATATGACAAGCAAAATCAATGGGGAAACCAGAGTCACTTAACAACCGTGTTACTAATTTAAGAACAGCAGACATCTAGCATCTTAACTTAAGGCTAAGGGGGAAAAACAGGTTTTAAAAAATGTGGCAAGAAAAGATGTACAATGGGGCAAAACTCACTAAACAAATTTCTCACTTAGCAACATAAATTCTGGGCTCAATTGTGGTCATAAGTCAAGGACTAGCTGTATATGTCAAAGAACAACACATATATAAGGATATAGGATGTTTTGCAGTTAAGATCTTTCACTATACAAATTTGTAGCTCATTCAAAGTCAGTAACTTAATATCTGTTCTTTACAGACACAGATATGCAGAACATTTTGTCACTATTTCAGCTGGCAATGAAGTTGGGACATTCACCAGTTTTAATTATGCCATCCTTCATAATGTCTTTACCAGTAACATATCTCATTTATTTCCAGTAATAGGGAAGCCATAATATTTACATGCTTCCTAGTAGCTCCAGAATAACTGTATCACCTGCAAAGAGTTGTGAAGAATACTAAACATAAAATTTTCATTAAACAAGATTTATATCAGATTAGACAAATATAAATTTGTGCTTCAAGAGTAACTTTGAAATGCAAGGACATTCAAAATGCTAATCAAGAACAATTAGAAACAAGAAGCTATTAAGAATCATTTGCTAAAAGTCAATATCCTCTTTACACGGACTGGGGTTTACATCTAAGTAAACATGACTAGATACATATATATATTCATATATATATATGTATGTATATATACATATGCATATATAAATCTTTCAGGCAGAATTACATGGCCAAACTTTAAAGGCATCATATCTGTCATCCTAACTTAAGCTATGTAAGACAGTTTCTGGGCTTTTCTTTGAAAAAAAAAAAAAGGTCAAAATAGGAATCTGATTGGTTCTATGTTCATTACAACTTTTTAAAAACACCCTTGACATTAAAGTATTCTGACAATTAAGGAAGCAAAATTATACATATGTAAGATAAAATAAACATGTATAAATTTATAGTATAATTTTGTCATCATTTATAACAAAACTGAATTTTTAAAGAAAAATTAAAGAAAAGTGTAAGCATATATAAACAGAAAGATATGTACGAAAAATAAAAAAAACATTGCTACCAGTATTGATTTCCCATTAATTCAGCCTTAAGTGGACACTTGTCACCTCTCCTATGAAAGGTGCATACATGATTCCATAATATAAGTTTACAGCACACAGACCTCTTTGTGATAGTTTCTTCAGACCATTTTGGAATACACGGTCAAGTGGATATGCTTTTTTACTGTCGGGGGATTTAAAACTTAACTATTCCGAATAATGAGAAGAATATTCACATATACTTTAAAAACTGATCTGAAAAATAATTTGTCAATTCTGCCTTTTCTGTAGTGCATTTCATTCTCATGAAACGGCCCCATGCCATAAAGAGTTACTTGTAGACTACACGAGATGCAGCTCCCATTCTCTCACGACGCTAAAACGACCCCTAGATCTCCAGAACAGCCCATCCATGTTACAAATTCAAACCTCTGCCTTTCGTCTTTCTAGCTTTATTTACCATATAAGGATGAGACAACAAAACAGTATTTATCAAGAGCGTGCAGATGTCACGCACGGAGAAACCAAAAGCCCTTGTCAAAAGCGAAAAAAAAACCCATTTTAACTAAATAAAAGAGCAAGAGCGCGGGGCTAACTTCTTGTAAGCTACATGCCTCCAAAAGGTAACGGGGACACGAGCGGGTAAGGAAGCCCCAGGGTTACTCCGTTCTAGACTTCCTGCCCTCGTTTTGTCTCCTGAAAGATAGATGAGGAGTCCAAATCTGGCCAACTTTCCCGGGCATATGCAGTTTGGAGAAGTACGCCCGCTGTCAAGAGTCTCAACATCAGTGCCCTTGATCTAACCGGCGTTTTCCGATCGCATCTTTCGCTGCGGGAGACCTGCCTGCCAAGCATCCGCGCATCCCCTCGGCTCCGCGCGCATTTTGCCTGCCCAGCCAGGAGCTTGGCAGCAACCAAAGGCGCAAAGGAGAAGGGGAAATGCCTTCCCCCAGAGCAAGCCCAGCAGCGCCTGGTCCCTTTAAGAGCCGCCGACCTTAACTTGGGCCTCCCCCCTCTTTGCCCGACACTTAGTTGCTAGCTGTCTAGGTCTGTACCGGAGCAGCAAGTCCTGTCTCCCTTCGCGGAGAGCGACACCCGCATCCCGCCAGGCAAAGGTTGCAGAAGGAGGAAAAAAGCCCGCCGGGCTGTCGACACTCACCTTCCCTCAGAAAGCCCCTCCATCCCATTCGCCCCGGGGCGGGGGGCTTCCTTTCGCAGAGCAGCTGAAGACCCTTTCAGCCTCAGCCGCCGCCGCCACCTCCTCCGCCTCCTCCTCCCTTCAGTCTGTCTCCTGCGCGGGAGGCTGCGTCTGCTGCTCCCGGCTCCTCCGCTCCCTCCCCGGCTGCTGCCCGGCTGCAACTAGTCTGGCTCTTCGTGACAGCAGGCGAGCACCCGGAGCCGCGGGAAGAAAGGAGCGGAGCTGCGGGAAGGGGGGGAAGGGAGGATGAGCTTCCTGCCCAGCCCCTCGCGCGCCTATTCGCAGCCTCTACTGACACCTGCAGGGTCGGATGTGCAAACAGCCGGCCCGGCCTCTGCGCACCAACTGGCCCAGCGGCCAGGGAAGAAAAGTCTTCTCCCGCGGAGGGGCTTGTCTGGGTTTTTCCGCGGTTGCAGGACCCCCTCTTTGGTCACATTCCGGCGCAACCCCTTTCGACAGAGGGCAACCCGCTGCTCTACCAGCCTGGTGCGACATCCTCTGCACGCTTACCGAGCCTGCAGACCTGTTCTATTCGGGAAGCTTTGCTCCAAATGTCTAGGGCTGCACCCCCCGCCCTCCTTCCTCTCCCCGGAAAAAAAAATCCCGTCAAAAGGGAAGACAGTGACTTGACCGTGGATCATTAACCCACTTTAAGTTTGTCTCAGCATCAGCCGAGGCAGAAGCGAAGACACGGGTGGGGATCCAGGTTCAAAGTCTCTACGGCTGGAAGTTTAGAATTTCTTACATGGGGGGGGGGGAATTTGTTGAAGAAATCAGCTTTCAAGCTTCCGCGTTAGAGGCGGCTTTAAGTGCCTTCACGGAAAGCTGGGAGATGCCTCGCTTCAGTTTCGACCTTCTTGCTTAAGGCGCGAAAATCCGTGGAGCACTTTGGGGAGGCGATAGTGCGGGTAACTCCTCCTTGGCGAACGCTGCCCTCGGCGCTTCCAGCCTACCTCGCTGTATTTTAAAAAAGGACCGTATGGAGAATATCATCCAATTGCTCATATAGCACATCACCAAATAAGGCACTCCTTAGGATTTTGCCCATCCCGCAAGACAAAAAGGTTTTGTAGCTCCAAAATAAACCGGTCAAATGCATATTTCTAGAGTTAAGGATGACTCTCATTGAGAATAACTTTCTACAAAGGCATGTTCCATACCTGAATCCTTCAGGTGTATTTTGATTTCAGTTCACACAATCTCCAGCTGGCACAACCATAAACAGTACATTTCAAATTGTTGTTCAAGCCAGCAAACTAATTTCACCTTCTTGAACTAAAACCACCTAGTTTAGAAAATAATAAACTATATTTAGAATGTTCTTCCTTATCGGCATTTGTTACCTATTAAATAAAACTAACATTATTTCCACTGATGCTCACATTTTTATGGGAGGCAACTGAAAAAAATCTATTGCATTTGCCCAGTGGTGGGATTCAAATATGTGAACAACCGGTTCTCTGTGGGGATGCCACTTCTGGAAGTCCATTCTGGGCCTCGGCAACAAAAAATTAGCTACCAGTTCTCCCAAAGTGGTGCAAACTGGCTGAATCCCATCACTTCATGTGCCCTAGACCAGAATTTTGGGTCTCTTCGCAAGGTAAAAAAATCAGCAATAAACACACCAAAAAATGAGGGACAACATAATTTCCAACCCAAAGCGGATCCATCTAGCACAGTGGTTCTCAACCTGTGGGTCGGGACCCCATTTGGGGTCGAAAGACCATTTCACGGGGGTCGCCAAACAACGCAGTCCGCCATTTTTTCCCCCTTTTCCTTAGCTGTGCTACTCCCTTTTATTCTATTGGCTTTTGAAAGCCAATAGAATAGACTCTCTTGAATAGAGTCTAATTCTATTGGCTTTCAAAAGCCAATAGGAATTGTCCAGGCTGTCTCTGCCCTGCTGAGCCCGCCAAAAGTCCTATTCTGCAAACGTGCTGTACCAGTTGAGTAGTCCTTGACTTACGACCGGTTGAGTAGTCCTCGACTTACGACCAGTTGGGGGTCACGGCATTAAAAAGGTTGAGAACCACTGATCTAGCATCTTAAGGCTAAGGGGAAAAACCAGGTTTTTAAAAAAATCATTCAAAGGTGGGCTTCTACTTCATATCGCTAATTACAGAATTCCTGTATTGCTGTCATTTAGATTAGTCCTCCAAGCATACCCTTTGGCTATGCTGCTCAGACATTGTAGGAATTGCAGCACCAAACACATTAGTGATACCAACCTTGAATAAAATGAAGTCTTCTTAGGAATGAGATGCATAATAGAGAAATGGTTTGCCACTGCCTTCTTCTAGGATGCTGTTTAACTTTCCAGTCAACTACTGGAAAATCCTGGAAGTCATCCATTCACTTACTAACCAGACTTAGGTTAGTCTCTGAGACCAGCCAGATGCTGCCCTCTACTGCAGTGGCCCCGAAATCTTTTGGGCACCAGGTTCCATGGAGAGAGGGTTTTCTATGGACCTGAGGGGGCATGGTTTCATGTGCTGTCTGCATCCCATGGATGGGGCTTCGCCTATTGTGCAGCCCAGTTACTGGCATGCCACAATCCAGTGATCAGACCGGGGGTTATACTGAAACCAGCTCGTAGTAAATTATACTAAAGAAATGTAGAGACATCAAAGACTTTAGCTTGGTAGACGAAGTTCTTAATAAGCTTTATTTAGGCTGGGTTGCTGACCTGTGATAAAGAATTTGAATTTTATTAAGAAAACTCTTCTTCGGTACGTAAAAAAAAAAGACTTAAGTTATTTTCTACTTGTCATTGTTTTTTGAATGCTAGAAAGGTTACTGATTACCAAAACATTGTATAATACACACAACAACAAAAAATCCTACAAATCCTCCTAATATGTTAAATGCAGTCTAAGAACTGTTATTAATGTTTTCAGCTTTGGGAGGTACAAACAGAGCTAGGAACATGCAGGGATTATTTGATCTAGTTGGAAGTCCAGTCAGAATGTCTTGAACTGGTGCCATTACATAGGGATGCTCAGATCCAGAAGAAGAATTGGAAAAATGTCTGTTATATTCTACCTCAATATAATATGAAGAAATTAGTTGCAAAGTTTGAGTTTTTCGCTGGTACTATGATGGTGCTAGCTATTGTAGTGCCCCAGAGCTCCACAATCAGGACTGGGGCTTTGTTGATGCTCAGGACTGATTCAGATCAAACAACTTTGAATTGTCCTGCCTCAGGTCAGAATTTGGGAACTTGGCTGCATTCAATGAGCTCTTATAAAAATGCTCACCACCAGGAATAAAGGAAATATCTTGTAGTTAATTATTGACACAATCCTCCATTTATACTACATGATTAAAAAAAATCATTGAATAAATAATTTATTCTTCCCAGAACGATTACTCAAACAATGGTTACATGTACAGCACTTCTAAATGAACGACACAACTTTTCAGGATGTTATGAACATTTGGAATGTTAAGAGCATACTATGGGTATGCTATTAAAATTATATACATGGTGGGGTATAATACACATTTCAAATCCCCCCTCGACTTATAAGACTGCTCCTCACTAATAAGATTCTCCCCATATCAGATGACATAGGGAGACAGATGGGTCCCATGTGTTTACTGCTTTTAGTTTAATAAAAGCAGTTATATCCTCATTTTCATGTGGCAATTAATTGGAAGATGCAATCATTTTTCAGTCTAGCAGAGTATAGAAAGGTTCTGTGAATGAGTGAGCACAATCAAGGTGATGTTAAATGTTGACACAACTTTAATATTAATAGAATAAAAACACCAAAGGAATGTTAATTATAAGTGCAATGAACTTATCTAATTTATTGTCTTTTATCTTATTACATTGTTATACCAAATAACCTGCACTGTTTTTTTAAATAGTTACTATACTATAACCTATTCTTGTACCGAATAGACTGCAAGTAAGACAATAATTACAAAAAGATAGTTGAATAGTATACTTTAAAAAAACTGAAATTGCTATCCTTATAATCAACTAGAAAACAGAAGTAGCAACAACATTTTTATTACTGTCTGAATTTCTAATTAGATTGCAGGCAGTAACAGCTAGTTCCCAAATCAGTTCACTATTTCAAATCATGAGATTCTTTCACCAAAGCACTGATAAATATTCACCAGCTATGCTTTGACAGGCCATTATACATGCTAAAGAGTACAGATAATTTATCTACATGTGATTTGAGTGATTAAAATGTCAGATTTTGTGTAGAGTATTGTTTTCGGAGCAGGGCTTGTGCCCAACATGAGTAATTTACTAAGATTGCATGATAAGCTGCCTGAGGCATTTTGGAAGTTGAGAGTAAACAAAATAGGTTTTAATACACTTGTAAGAGGGCACTTCAGTTTTAAGTCTCCCACCCAGCTCTCCCCCCCCCCTTGTCTCTTAACTATTAGGTGGATAAATGGAACTCCTGTAGTCTTTTGTCTAAACCATATCAGAGTACAAAAGCTTGGAAAACCTAAAGGAATTTGGAAGCCTATTCACACTACTGCATTGAAAGCGTGGGTGGTTCTAAAGTTCAAATGGTGCTTGTCACCAGGAGCTAAAAAAGTAATAATAAAATAAAACAATTTGAAATAACAAGAGGCACTTTTTAAAAGGAAGCTTTTGCACTGAAAATATATGAAACTGAAATTTGGCAAATGCCATTTGTGGACAGGTTTGACTCAGAATGAAGGTAATTTGGACAGAATATAGTAAATGTAGTATTACATATGAGAAGTGCCTGTAGTCTGTCTGCTCAACTTCCATATTTTGCAAAGCTTTCAGAGAAGTAGGTATAATTTGAGAAAATAAATCAAGATTAATTAACATTAAATTGCTGCAAAGGACTACCTCAGTATTTTTCAAACTTGACAACTTTAAGACATGTGCACTTTAACTCCTAGAGTTCCCCAGTCAGCATACTACCAAAAATAGAATTTTATTTTTTATTCACATATTAAGATTCATCTTATTCCAGTTTGTATATTATTTAAATATTATTTTAGCAGTATGAGAACTACTTCAATGTAAATATATCCCATAGACCAGTGGTTCTCAACCTTTTTAATGCCGCGACCCCCAACCGGTCATAAGTCGAGGACTACTCAACCGGTCGTTAAGTCGAGGACTACTCAACTGGTGCAGCACTGTTTGCAGAATGGGACTTTTGACGGGCTCAGCAGGGCA